AAGGACTCAAAAATAGTAAATCCATTTACATAAGCCTTCTATGCATTTATCTTATGGATGAAGTGTACAGATCATTTCCATATAGTTTCTAAGATTTTTTTACAGTAAGTTCTTTTATATAATGTAAATAATAATTATCTAAATTAGTACTTTTTTCCAAAGTTTGAATTTTCCATGTTAGATTATTTACCTAGGGCATATAATTCCATAATACATCTAGAAATTCAACATACTTTTATAATTTATGGGAAATTCACTTTATATTTTCTAAATTTTCCTTACTAGATAGTTAGGTTTTCTAAACTCCGATGGTTTATAACTAGAAAAATTTCACAACTTTAAAAAAAAAACAACAGCTTCATTCTCTCAGCTGTCAGTTTTTCTGTTCATAAACTGTGTTACAAGCTGCCATTTTATAATAACTTTCTAAAGGAAGCAAAATACAATCAAAATATGTCACCATAAATAGAAAATTATTGTTTGAAATTTGATATTTGGAAACATTTTAGCATTTATTTCATTCAAAATTAAGGTTAAAATAAAGCAAAATGAAGAATATCCCCCAAATAAATATACATGCGAATTTTAGACCTGAATTAGATTTTTCACACAAAGTTTAAGCCAGAATCATAGAGAACTAGGGATAGAAGTGCCGCTACAAATAGCGTATGTCTTCCCTCTCACCATTTAACAGGTGAGGAAACTGAGGGCCAAGAGGCTAGGTTAATTGCTGCATTCTGCACAGCAAATGTGGAAGGCCCACGACTGACATCCTAGTCAGTTCCCTTGCTGTCACAGCATGCTGCCTCTCTTGCTTTCCTTTTTTGAATAGATAATGATAGTAATAGCTAGTGATTATTGAAAGTTCACTGTGTACCAGGCACTACTATAAATTTTTTTACATGTATCATCTCATTTAATCCCCGCAGCAACCCTATGAGGTAGATACAATTGTCCGTATTATATAGATGAGGAAACAAATAATGCACATGCAGGTCTCTATCTTTAGGATGAAAAGTAGAAATACTTCTTTTTTCATTAACTTCTGTCTTCTAATTTTTCATTAGTTTGTTTAGATTATGATGATATTCAGTAACCTCTTAAAAATATGGTTATATCCATAATGGAAGCCTTTTTAGTAGGATTATTGCTGGCATTTCATTGTGATTATATATTATGTATCACTTTACCTACCTCCTAACTGGTCTCCTAACCTTTAGCCTTACTCTCCTTCAGTCCTTTCTTCTTGCTGCATATTATGGCAGAATTAGCTTTTGAGAATGCAAGTCAGATCATATTGCTTTCCTGCTAAGACTGTGTATGGCCTTTGCCAGTGTTAATCACACTGAAGGACCAGATTTTCATAGGATTGCAGGTGCAAGAGTTTTGGTGAACTGTACAGCTATTTGGTAATAACAGCTGAGTCTGCAAGATGAAATGCTCCCTAGTCAAGACATAGAGGGACCAACAGAAAAATGGGCAAATGATATAAATAGTTGTAGAAAAGGAGTCAAAACTGCTGTAAAACAAAATGTTCAGCCTTACTCATGATAAAAGGAATACACAATCTAACACAATCCAATTATAAAATATCCCTGAAAGGATACATTAAAAAACCATTTGTCTTTGACCAGGGGAACTCAGTGGTAGGAGATGGGGTATATTTTTTTTAAGCTTTTGGAATTTGTAGACAGTTACACAAGTACTGGAGTACTGTGGATCCCACATATTTAAATAAAAAAACAAATGTAGAAATAAAAACCAGCTTGTTCATGCTAGTTGGAAACTACACCTGAATACGTGGGGTGTTCAGGAGTTAAAAGATACTCGTGGCAGTTTATAAACCAGAAAGTTATCATCATACTGTCTTCCTTTTGTGTATACATTTCAGATTATAGAACATCTTCATGTGCTGTCTCAGTTGTTCTTGCAGCAACCTCATCTGCGTTTTAAGGTGAGGAAACTGAGCCTCAGATAAATTATGATTCACCTAAGGTCACAGAGCTAGTTTTGATCAATTCACACAGTGCAGTATATTTATTTACATATCTGTCTACTCTACCAGATTCTGAGCTAGCGACACAAACAAAGCTACAATGTAGGCTTTCTATTCCCAGTTGACTGCCTTTCGATGCTTGTAGTTCAGAAAAGAGTCAGTGAAATTATGTCACCTCCTTTCATTGTCTTGGGGAATACATGAAAGGGATGAGTCTCACCAAAAATATAAAACAAGGTTTCAGAAACCTCTTGTAAGTGGTGCCATTGCAAAAGCATACAGAGAAAAAAATAGCTTTCCAATTTTAATTTCTATGGAAGGAGGTGGATTCCATACTCCACAGAACCTTGTTGTTGGAATTTGATGTTGCTACACATTCCATTTGGATTAGCTTTAACATTCTACCTCTTTTGGAGCCTTTTGACAAACTTGATTTTCTGCAAAATTCCAGTGATGAGTGAGACAGTTCAAGTGGATCATGGCATATATATACCTATTTTTAAGGATTGAATAAAGAGTCAGAAATAAATAACTTGCCCAGATAAGAATTCTTAGAAGTCATTTGAACAAACCTTAAGCTTATAGTAAGTGTTCAAGAGGCAGCAATAACTTAAGGATGTACTGTGTTACCAGCAGCTCTGAATCCTTCAGCGTGGACACTTTCTTGGTTGAAGTGAAATTTAATGCTGAAAAACGGACATGTATTATTTTCCTTAACTAATGAAGAAGAAAGCAGCCATTCTCGAAAGAAAGAAAGGAAGAAAAACGTATAAAATCTGTATGGAATTTAAACACTTTTTTTTATTAAACAGGACTCTATATGAAACTCTTGAGAATTTTATAGTCAGGCTTAGATAAATATTTCATGTTGCATCTTAAGATGCAATCATTTATAGTAATTTTAGCACTCTGATTTCTGTTTGTTTTCAGATTTGAAAAAGCAAACATTTTCTATGATGATTTATATCTGGGAGCCGCCAATTGAGCCCAATTTCACATGACTTTATCTTTATAAATAAATGAAATAGGATAATAAGGAAGAGCTCTACTTACTTGTATTTTATGTCTGTCTCTTTAGACAGAAGCAGTGTTAGAAGATCTCTTCTTTTTCTTAGTGAAATGTAAACCATGGCCTTTGTAAATGCCCTGCTCTGTTTAACCCCCTAAATTTAAGCTGACCTTGGATGCAGGCATCATCTTCCCCTCTGGCTGCCTCAGGAGACTCTCTTTCTCAAGCCACTGCTCTCAGTTCTCTGGAGTAGGTGGAAACCTGCCCCCTCTCTGCACTCACCCTGTACTAAAGCCTTCAGCTGACACCTGTGAACTCTCAGCAACTCTAACTCCTGGGTTCTGGGAGGTTTTTTTTCAAACTGCCCTTTGTTAGTTTTCTGGTTTGATGTTTTATCTTTTTCTTAGATACCTGTCTTGATTTGGGGTATTCTTTGTCTAAATGCGTATTCACAGTTCATTCTATGTACTTGCTTACGTTTGGCTGAACTACTGATGATGGCGATGTACCTTGACTTTATAAAAAGTCCTGCACAACTGAAAGGTGTATTTTCTTTATCCATTTGTCCAACTACCTGCTAAGCACCTACTGTGCTGTGCTCAGCACTCTGAGTACGGGAGGAATTTAATACTCATTCTTTCAGCACATAGTTTTTGATACCTACTACGTGCCAGACGCCCTGCTGGGCACTGAGAATGCAGCAGAGAGCACATACGTGATCCTTGCCTTCATGGGGCTTATGTTTTAGTGGGGAAGAGAGAGCTTAAGTGAATCAGAAATAAAGTAAGATGATTACATGTTATGAAAAGCACGTGAGGAGAAAGGGTGGCGCCGCCAGGGCAGTCAGGGAAGGTGGACCTGGAGGACAGGAAGGAACCGGCAGTAGGACGCTCTCGGAAGAGGCAACGGGAGAGAGTAGGCTCTATCAAGGGAAGGAGCTTGACATTATCTTCTAGGAAGCATGAGAAGGCCAGTGGACTTCAGGGTAGTGAGAAGGAGAGAAAACTGTAGGAAGTGGGGTTAAAGTGAGAAAGGCAACCCCAGACCACAAAAGAGCCCACAGACCGTAGTCAGATGCTGGCATTTTGTTCCGGGTCTAATGAGAAGCCTGGTGGCAGGATGGTTATACAGAGGAGATACGCTCTGATTTCCTTTTTTATTCCTGAAAAATCATTCTGGCGGCTTTGTGAAAGTGAACCAAAAGGCACAAAAACAGGGGGCAGGGCTGAGAGGGGTGAGCCAGACCATGACCATGTCTGGTCATGGGAGAGAAGATGGTAGCTGGGTGGCTTGGCTTTTGTAGATGAGGAAATGGAGGAATGACCCAAGATACATTTCAGAAGTAGAGGCAACAGACGTGCCAGTGGATCCATCACACCGTAGGACATCGGGGCAGGAGGAAGGAATAGTGGGTGGCACACTGGAAGGAAGTCAGGGTCTGTTTGGAAAGCAGAGGACACTTCAGACCCTCCACTTGTGTGCAGTTCCCCCCCGAGGGGTAGTATGAATCAGGTGGTAAGTCGGCAGGACTATAGGAGTCATGGTGAACAATTATGGCCCCAGGAGATCAGAGGGGAGAAAAACAGTTATGTGCAGGGGAGAGCTGGGTGCTGGCCTGGGCTTGAGAGACGGGTGGGATGTTTGAGTGAACGGGAACACGTGGCCCAGAGATCGGGGCTCTGAGGGCCGTGCACATGTCCCTCCAGGTAGGAATGGAGGTTAGGAGAGGTCAAGGTTATTGGCCTGTTCACCCTCTCCTCTTCCCTAGTTCGTGTCCACAGTCCATTGGGTTCCCAGGAACTCTCGTGAGAGCTCAGAGTGAGGACTAGGGTAGCCCCCTGGGCCCTCTCACACCCTCCACACTGGGTTTGAGGTGTCTTTAGATGTTCTTTAGGGGAATCCCACAGCACCAGTCTTCCCCCATCTACCTTGGACACAATTCCATGTTCACTCTTGTCGCCTGCATTTATATATTTCCATTTACTTCTCACTTAGGTTTTATGGCAGCCACACAAAGAAACCCTCAGATGTCTCAATATGGACCCCAACAGACAGGACCATCCATGTCGCCTCATCCTTCTCCTGGAGGCCAGATGCATCCTGGGATCAGTAGCTTTCAGCAGAGTAACTCAAGTGGGACTTACGGTCCACAGATGAGCCAGTATGGACCACAAGGTAAAAAAAGTTTCTCCAAAATGCACTGCAGTAGGTTGTAGAAATTTTGTTAATATGTTAGTCCTTCAAGACCTTAACATTATAAACATCTTTAAAGATCCAGTTATTTGTTACCTGACAGATTTGTGAAGTTAATGCAAACCCACAGTCCTTCAGTTGCCCGTAGTGATGGGAAGAATAATCATAGCAACTAGTCATTAAGCATTCATGCATCAGCCACTGCGGTAAGTGCCCTTCATGCGTGTGCTGTTAATAATGAAGGAGTAAAGCCTGTTTCTGCAACGTAGCTCTAAATGCTTGTCCTCAAAAAGTTTCTGATTTAAAACCTAGGTTTCATTATGTTGTATTCTAACTTTGTCCCCTCCCTCTCTGTAATTATGTTTGTGACAATATTCTCACTACTCAGAAGGATTTCATGTGTCTCCAGATGAAATCTCTCATCTCTCTTCATCTAATCTGTCTCCAAAGTGCTCTATCAGGTAAATAATAGTTCTGATTTTCACAGTCATTACCAGTTTTACTCTTAGAAGGCAGGACAAAGCCTGAAATGGACATGTCTTTCAAAAAGGAAAGAGTAGAAAAATAAGTGGAACTTGCCCCCAATACACCATTTTCATTCTGGCTTCCTGGACATTGACGTCAGTTTTGTCTTACACATGCAGAATCCTTTTATCAGGGTTTTTAACCTGATATATATATATATATATTTTTTTTTTTTCTAAGTCACTTTTGGCAGTAAGGCATTTGAAATTAGCACCTTCTTTATATTTTGTTTCTTTAAATTAGACATTAATGGATAATTTAGAGAGAATGAGCTAATCTGGCACAATTCCCAGAGCTTCCTCATTTCTGAAAATACCAGAATATTCTGAGTGAAGACAATGCCCAGTAGGAAACTGTAGTAAAATGTTCACTACCTCCACAGCAAAGTCGGATCCCCTGACTTAATAAAGCCTTAATATTTCTGAGAGCTTTTCTGTCCGTCTGGAAAACGTGCTGTGTTGAGGACCCTTGAGCTTCTCCGGCCATCAAATAAGTGCCTGCCAGGCCGGACGATTCTTTGAGGAGGCCAGGCACCTTCTCGGCTTTTTACCAGGTGTTTCTCAGAAAAGCTTTCCTTACTTCACGGTTTGAAAATTGTCTTTTGTTTTCTGAAGATCTCTTTCGGAAGGATTTTAAGCACCTTCAATACTATCAAGGAGCACCATCGCCTTGCCTTATGCTGCTCTGTCATTTTACATTCCAGCTATTTCTGTTGTTGGGAAAACGATATTAAAACACCCGAAACAAAATTTTTCCATGGCCCCTTCCTGCCTCTGTCCATGTGCACGTAGTCAGAGTGGATATAGACATGGGTTTTGCTTGATTCTCTTCACACCATGTCATAAATGGAGTTCTGTGTTGTGAATTCCAGTAAGCTCTAGGAATTTAAGGTCCCAGTTGACAGTGTCTTCCCAGTTCCCCATCAGCCCCAGGTAGTTGTGACATGTGGCAGTTTGTTGCTGAGCTAAGGCAGGACGTGTCACTCAGCTGTGAAAGTGCCTACTTGCCCGCTGCACCCACTCAGTGGGTATCTTCAAAACTGGGGGGCTTTGGCTATCAGGAAAGGAAGAAAACTTTAGTGAAAGTTGGAAAGGCAGTTTATAAGTTCTGATATGCACAGAAAATATGGACTTTTGTTCAGAATGTAACTGGAGAATCCTGGAGGTCAGGACCTTATTCTCAGAATTAGGGGTGGCTGGAGGCCTGGGATTTAACCACTACCACTCACCAGGGCTTCCTGTAATCTTCAAAACTGGTTTCTCTACTCTTAAATAATTCACTCTTGAAGGCTCGTCCTCTGCTGCTCTCAAATAAGGGAAAGTGGAGCCTTGGACTATCTGATGAGTCTTTTGTGAACGGCTGTGAAAGCACTTATGCTTTAGGAGTTAGGTAATAACACAAAAGGTAATTTCTATAGAATGGATTTATTTTCTGAAAAAAAACCCTCAGTTTTTTGGAATCGTTGAATGTTAAGATTCTTTTTTTTAAAATTTATTTGGCTGCATTGGGTCTTAGTTGCAGCACACAGGATCTGCGCTGTGGCACGCGCGGGCTCTTCGTTGCACCGCGCAGGCTTCTCTCTAGTTGTGGCGTGTGGGCTCTAGAGCACGGGCTCAGTAGTTGCAGCGTGCTGGCTTAGTTGCCCCGCGGCACGTGGGATCTTAGTTCCCCAACCAGGGATCGAACCCACCGCCCCTGCTTTAGGGAGGTGGATTCTTAACCAGAGGACCACCAGGGAAGTCCCAAGATTCTTGATTTAGGAACAGTGCACCTGTGAGGGTTCTCACCCCAACTTGTGTGCCCTTGGAAAGTTGCTTACTCTCTGGGATTTACTTTTCCTATAGAAAATGGGAAAATTAGATTGTGTTACCTTGGAAGTTGCTTCTAATTCTAATATTCGGAGTCTAAATTTTGCTTCAGCTCCAGGGCCTGTTATGTTAACGCGGCCCACTGGATCCACTGCGTAACATTTTGGTTACGTAGACAAGAAGGTTTTTGTTTGGGTTTTTTTTTTTAAGGCATAAATGCTGAGTTTAGGTTGACATTAGAGATAATTTAAAATAAGGTTGATAATTTCCATACACAGCACTTTCTAACTTTGAAAAAAAGTGCCTGCACATTTGTGCTCTTGGCAATGTTCTCCTTCCAAGAGGCATCTCTAGCACCTTCCACCTTGAGGCGTGTCCCCTCCTGGGTTCTTTGACTGGCTCCCAGTGCTGTGGGCTGCCAGTCAGTGTCCCAGCGCTCTGTGTGCAAATCAGAATTGTTTGCTTTCCTCCTTGTATTATCCTCTCCTCGGCAAACACTGAATGACAGGAAATTACGCTTGTGACCCGCATCACTCAATTCAGTAAATGTTCTTACCTTTACATTTCTCTTGGCTGATCCTTTTAAACAGAGACCCGAATGAAGTATTTTTTTTTCTTTCTCTTAATTAACTACTCAAATTATTAGTAAAATATTCAGCTTACATCTTCGCGTTACACGTTTTGATGTCTGGAAAGAATGGCTTGTGCAGCGACCCACAGGGTCATCAGTCCACATCTTCTATGTCTGTTACTAACTAGATGGCTTTCTTCTGGGCTGGTTTCGTTTTTAAGAGATCTCAGGGGAAAATATTTTACAGTCTCTTTTTGCTGTAACCTTTTTGCTGTCAGGAGCAGCTTCTTCAAAATTATTAGTAACAACCAGCAACGTTGATTAAACACTACTGGGTCCTGCTCTCGGTGTTTTTCATATATTAACTCATTTAATCCTCACAACATGCTGTGTTATAGGTACTGTTATTACTCCACTTGACAGAGCAAGAGACTGAGGCGTGCACCACATACACACCTTTGCCCCGGGCACACAGTGGGACGCCAGGATTCAAATTCAGGCATACTTTCCCATTTTTATTAATTAACAGGAAGCCCGTGACGTTATCCCATTTTGCGAAGGAGCAGGTTAAGTAATTTACGCACAGTCCCACAGCTAGTAAGGGCAGAGCCAGGGTTCACACGGAGGGAGACTTCAGAGGCCACTCACAGAGCGACTGGTGCGTCGCTTCCCAGGCCTGAGATGTACTCCTTCCCGGCCGTTGCTTCAGTGAGCGGGGAGAGAAGGAAGCAAAAGGCAAACCACTAGCCTTCAAGGAGCAAGGAACATTTGGGGAATGCAGGCGTAGAAATACATCAGAAATACTAGAGATTAAGGAAAAACATAACTATTAAGAAGAAATTTTTAGAAGTGTATATGATACTGTAAAATCTGAATTATTAAACGTACTAACGGGGCTTCCCCCTTTGGCTCGCGTTTCTCTCTGCGCCGCATTTTCTCGACGCTGCCATTTTGAGCTCCTCCGCCGGGCTGGGTGACAAAGGCGCCGCCGCTGGCATTTTCTACCCGCGGCTCGGCCACCGGGCCGGCCCTCTCGGCACCCACGGAATCCCCGAGGCCCCAAAGCACCTCCGGAAAGGATGCGCCGAAGAGCGGCGGCTTTCCTCGCCCCGAAGTGCGTTGGCTCCTCGACGGTCTCCCAACAGCTGCTAGGTCATCATCGAGGCCGTGACGCCCCCTCCCATACAAAAGGCGACCTTGAGCGCCGGTAACAGGAAACACCCAGTCAGTTTTGGACAAATATCAAAATACCCTAAAGGGATGAAGCCAATCTAAATGTGTAAAAATGTTTAATTGCAGTATACTTGATGAAATAGTACATTTCTACCTTCAAGCAGGCACATGTAAAATAACTACCCTTACAAACTGTTTGCAGTAGAAAGGACCATAGAGACTTGCTCTAATAAATAGAAAGCAATTATGTAATTGACATGTTAATTATTAATAAATGCATTTGTATGGGAAAAAGGGAGCGGAAATCCATTTCATCTTCACAGCCTTTCTATCTCCTAAGGACAGACACTGTCTCGTTTGTGTGTTCTCTAGAACAGTGTCTGTCACAGACTGTCCACAAGTATTTTTGGCATGTTTGTCACTAATTGCAAAAAGTGAGGGTCTAGCCTTAGTTTTGCAAGGAATTAGGAGTATTACCTTGGGCAACTCACAGGGATTCTGAGCCTAGATTCCCCTCCACTTATCACTCCCTTGTATGTTAGTGTCTGGGCCACACCTTACAGCTACACACGTTGTACACTGACTCAGCCTTGGTTTTATGCCTTAATTTGTATAGTGTGTCTTAGGAAGCAGGGAACTTCTAAGTAGGTGAGTCTGAAGAACGTTTTATTCCTAAATTACTTGGTCAAAGAGGCTTTTCAGAAGGGTTTAACGTGTTTTTCTCTAAAATAAATAAGATGCCATCGGAACTCTGCCTTCTCCTTCATTCATTAAAATGTTTCTCACAGATTCAGCAAAGGCAAACTTCAAATGATACCTAGTTGAAATGAATGCAGTTCCAAAATGGTGAATTGCACATTAATAATCTTACAGCTGTTCCAGTTCAGAGGAACAGCATATAAATG